GAACAACAATAATTATAAGGAATTTATTTGAGATGCAGAGGGTAAAATGTGCAATTACCTTAGAAATGATTACCATTAAGCAATAACAATAGTCAAAAACTTACAGCTACTAAAATAAATCAAAATTATATTTATTTTCCCCGAGCTTTCATCAATTCTAAAATATTAAGAGTGTCCTACAACAAACTTGATGTTCAGTTCAACATTAGTGGCTGAAGATCTACCCTCATATTCCAATAGCCAAAACTATGGTGCCTCACACATGCAACAATTCTCAACTGACATAGTTTAAATTATTTATAGACTTTCCTAATCATCTCTTCACTAAAATGAGAACACATAGCATGCAATGTAACAATTTAAGTTCAAATGCACAACAGCTGCATCACCAGGTTTTTTTATTGCTTTGTTTTCTCTCATTTTTTAAAATGTCAATGTTCACCAAACTCCAGTCGATTAATATTTCTGAGAAATAAACATCCCTTCCTACTAGACGTACCAAAACATTGAATTCTAATCACCTATGAGAAACAATTTCATAATCAACTGATCCAAAACATTAAAGTAACAAAAGGATCAATGCAAGCAAAATAGAAGTCATTTATAATTTGTAAGGAAGCATAGATAAAAGAAAGTATGGTAATATGTAGCAGTAGGAGCTAGCATAGATGAATGAATATGGATGAAAATCAGTATGGATGAAAATCCACTGAAGAATTACTAATTTCACAATTATCTTGCAGTAAGGGAAAGACCAAATGCTCCACCATCTCAGCTAATGGTTAATCGCCCTGGCCCAAAAACTAAAATATCAAGCATTAATTGCAATGCCAATGATTAGCTAACTTATCTAGCAGATGCAAAGCCATTATTTTGCACAGTAAGAACTACAGTAAAAACCAATTAAAAGACAGATGATGAGGGGGCGATAGTTAAAATTCTTGCCGCCAGATAACAAGCAAGCCAACAGGTAAAAATCTTGCTGTCAGGTAACAAGCAACCCAACAGGTAAAATTCTTGCTGTCAGGTAACAAGCAACCCAACAAAAGAGAAATTTTGTCCCATTTAATCAGAGGTCAGATTGAAGATGAACAAACAAAAGTATTCATATAAGTTCTTCATACATACAGGTTCTTGACATGAATAAACAGAAGGAGTCACTCCCCCTTCTTTTCTGTTGCAGGCTTCTCTAATTGGATTAGTAGACACAGATGCTGACAGAGCATCTAAATAGAAAAGTCCACAAGGTTCTGGAGATACGTTATTAGTCTGTCAAGGTAAATGAGAAAGAGTGGATTTTTAAGCCATCAATATGAAAAACCAAAGCACCAAAGAATTTAATGCTAAATTAGTTTTAAGGCTTACATCCTGCATTTCAGTTGGTAGAATGCTAAAATAGAAATCTTCTGACAATTTTTCTCTTCTCTCCCTATTGTATAGGCAAATTGTACCATAGAATGGCTCTGAGACAAATAGAGGGAACTAGGTCAGAAATCTTAAAAGTGCAAAAAATAATGAAATAAAGCAGTATCTTAACATTATAAAGATGCAGCAGCTTGTGGATAACAGGGAAAGAACACTAACCAATGATTCAGCTCACAAACTTGACACAAATTAGCATCAAATCACCAATGAGATCAAAGTTTCTTGACGGCTTGCTGATATTCTAAAAAAAAAAAAATCTGTACTCCTATAAGTTAATATGAACCATATAAACACAGTAGAAACCAGCATCATCTAAACCAAACAAGACAACATTAATAATGCTGCATGAAATTCACAGTCAAAAATTGAAAAAGCAGATCAGATTAATCTTTGCTAAACTTAACCCAATATTTAAGTCAGCAAATGCCATTACACAACAACCACAAACTTTCCAGGATAAAAGTTGCTGAAAGTTAACAATCATTAAATGTGAATGTTCCTCAACTTCATATATTTTATCTTTCCAAAATTTTCGATATTTCTATACTGAAATTCAAATTTCAATTGCTATTCACTAATTACAAGAATCATCAATCATCAAACAAAGAAAGCAAACCTTCCATGGCCACAAGTGTAGTTATAGAAGTCTCTGCCATTGAGAATAATGCAGATAGACCTAAAGTGCGGTCAGAATCACACCTTGGTCTTTGAAAATCTTACAAACCATAGAAACCTTAGGCCACGCATTCCTCAACAACAATGCCCACTGCTCAATCACTCCGTACCTTGCATTCACCACTTCCTCCACCGCAAGCACCCTCTTGCACCAGAAAACCAAAAAACCACAAAACATTGACCCACAAAACATTGCACGAAACCCAAACACTTGGATCCGGAAATGAAGGAAAATGTTAAAATTTCAGAAAAAAAAAAAACCCAAACTGTTTTCCCTTTCTCAATCCTATTCCTTCTTGCCGGTAGAATTGAGCATGCTAGGTGACGAGGTAAAAACAGAGGTTAAGAGAGAATAGGATGGGTATTGATGGATTTGCTGCAGATGGAACGCAGGAGTTGGGATTCATAATAGAAGAGGAACCCTAAAGAGGTGAAATTGAGGTGATTCTGTGATGCTAATAATGTCCCTTGATCGGTGGAAATGGAAGCTACTTGCATTAGATTCTTTCTGTTGTGAAGGAAGATGCTGCTGAAAGCGAGTGCGAGAGAGAGACCGAAGCCCAAATCATAAGACTTACCCTTCGCAACATGACAATTACAGTTATATCACCAAGACGATAACCATCCAAAAATCCAGAGTCCCCACTTATGAAATGATTCCGTCAAAATCCCATCTCAAAATTCAAACTTCCGCATTTCCCTTTCAGCCCATCAATGTGAGGCAAGAATTTTTATATGAAGTAAAGAACGAAAACTGGTAGCATATCTTCGCTACCAGTTTGCTATCATTTCATAAGCCAGTGGGAGAGAGGGATTGTAAAACACTTTCTCAATATATTTTGTAATAAAGAAAGACAAAATTACAAAGCATAATAAAGACGAGAAGGTTGACAATTTTAGACAAGCCAATCCCAGCCATAACAAGAACTTCAAACCCGAAAAGCACTTAGCTTCTTCTTTGAACAAGTCTTCTGGCTTTCCTCATCTTCCTTCCACTTTGACTTGGTCGGCCATCAAACAAAGACACAAACCATTTTGGTTTTCCTGCTCGGAAGACAAGATATCCCATCAGCAGTCCAAAAACAACTCCACATCCATAGCCTAACACCACAACCCTCCAGCCAAATCTCCACAACTCATCTTTTTCATGGAAGGAGCTCGGCGGTGTCCCAATTCCATCACAAGATTTTGACAATGGGAATCCACACAGTCCAAGGTTTCCTTCATAAGAACCATTTCCAAAGGTGTTGAACTGACTGCCCAGTGGTATGCGCCCGACAAGATGATTATTTGAAAGATTCAATACAGAGAGTTGTGTCAAATATACCAATTCATCAGGAATTTTCCCTGCCAGCTTGTTGGAAGAGAGATCCAACCATTCCAGATTCATCAAATTCCCTAGTGACGGTGGGATATGACCAGTAAGGTTGTTATGAGAAAGATTAAGCCCTTTGAGAGAACTAAGGTTTCCAATAACATCTGGAATTTCTCCCTCAAACATGTTATTTGAGAGATGAATACTACTGAATACGGTCAAGATTCCCTGCAGCTCGTAGTCGAATCCCTTCCATGTCACAACCAGTGAATATTGATAAGAATTGGCTCTCATCAACACCATCATAATAAAACTCTTCTTATATTATTTTATTAATGTCATTTTAATAATTTCATCACACGAACTACACTTGAATAGTATGGTTCGACTCAAACCACATGTAACTCTAAAAAATAATATAATATTTAGAAAAATTAAAAATGTACTTAGTTTGTTATAATATTATTGTTAAGGCACAAATATTATCTAGTTTTAAGGAGCATTTTACTTGAAATAACAAACGGATTATATTCTGATTTCCTGCAGTGGCCGACATGGATTCGTGGTAGCTATAACAGGTATAGAGAATTTGGGAAAGGCTTGATTTGCAATGGTACGGGATTTGTGACATTCCCTGTGAAGTATCAATGTGTTCTCTTTAGACCATTTAAAGGTGAGATATTAGAAGCTGTTGTGACCATGGCCAACAAGGTAACTGTTTTCTATTTGCTAGTCTCCTCACTTAATGATAAGATTATCTTACGAACCATGGATTTCTACTGCTTTACCGGTAACTGCATTTGTGATTCCTACAGATGGGATTCTTTGCAGAAGCTGGATCTGTTCAAATTTTTGTTTCAAACCATGTAAGTATTTTTTCCCTTTTTAATAAGGTTTCTGCTCCAAGAGGATCACTATATTCATCTTGTGACAAGCATTTTCATTTTTCCATTCAAATCTATGCCATCTGTGAGATGTCAATTTGCTTGGCAGTAATGCATTTTCTTTTTGTGTTTATTGCTTACGTTGTGGCTATTGTTGATGAAAACTTGAATTTTCTTTACCTTGATGAAATTTCCAGGGTCTAATCATTTATTGTTTTCATCGAGCTTTTCTATTTCCCACAAGAAAAATAGAACTCCCTTGATTGAATTAGGTACTGTGTTTAGCAATTGACATGGAAGAGCTAACATGTTTTGTGTCCTTTTTTTTTTTCTTTTTTGGAAATGCTTTACTTTTTGAAACTTAGCAATTGATGTATGGTGAAGCTTACTAATGAGGAACTTAGGAACTCCACTTTCACACACTTAACAAGCTACATAAAAAGCAAGATGCTAATACAAAATACAAAGAAACATAAATTTGATAAATTAAATAAGTTCTTTATCTAATGTAACAAAACAGCATAGTACTCACAAGAAACTTATTACATATATTAAACATAATTCTTTAGGGTTGGGCCAATCTCTGTAGAAAATGTTCCAGGATTCATTTTTTGCAGGGTGGATTACAAAATTGGGTGT